AGCCCCTGCCTCTCAGGCCGAGTTTGCTATGGGAAGAGCCAGCCGCAGGGTCCCCGCAAAGTGAGTCCAGTCCCTGCGTGGGTCCCACTGACACAGACTCGGGGCCGGAGGAGCCCTGGCATCCTGGCAGGGGAAGCAGGGCTGCACGGGGCTCCCTCATGCCAGCTGTGAGACCTGGCACGCCACGCCACACCCCTCCTGGAGCCTCCAGCTCCCATCAACCTAGTGTGGTCACCGTGCCCGGCCGCCCGGACACGTTTCTGCCATCTGTCCCCTGGCACAGCAAGCCCCTCCTTGAGGGACCTCCTTCACCCAACACCGGCTGCCAGGGCTGTCAGACGACAGGGCGGGTGGGCTGCTGTGGGTCTCTGGTTCCAGCTGTGCCCAGGCCGCCTGCCCTCCCCCTCCTGTGAAAGGAGGGTCACCCTTCCCTTAGACCTGCCTCTCTGTTGGCAATTCCAGGGCCACATTTTCTGGGAAGGATGCGGGAAATGCAATGAGCTAGCGGTGCGAAGAGCTCGGCCCGCCAGGCTCCGTGGCCGTGAGTCCCTTTCCTTCATGGGCACCACCCGTAGGTTTGGCCAGGCGCCAGGAAGATGGGCCGTGCCCCGTCTCGTGAGGTGGTGCACTTGGCCACCTCTGGGAGCTTAGAGTCAGGTGCCCCGCGGGAGGCTGTCAACCTGTCCCTCTGTGCCGGGGTGTACTGGGGCCCTCTAGCTCCAGATGTTGGATGCCAGGAAAACCCTCCAGGAGAGGAGCACTGCAGCTGGGTTTCCAGGCGTGAGCGAGTTTGCCAGAGGGGAGAGGGCTGCGGAGGGCTCTGGGCCACCACTGTCCGTCATCACCGTGGTGAGTACAGGGCTGAGTGCTCGTCAACTGCACGGCCGTCGGGCGTGTTCGCTGCCCTTCTCTGCCCGTGGCTGTGAGGTAAGGGTGAACGCGATCACGTGTGGACGTTCAGCCCGACGTGGAGCAGCCTGCGAATACTGAACTCACCGTGAAAAGCCTTTACGTGACCAAGTCCGGTCCCTGAAAACCATCACAGCCGCCCTGCCCTTGCGCCCCTCCCTTCCCTGTCCCCGACGGCTTCCGCCAAAGGTCCTTGTAGAAAATTCCAACCTCTGAGTGGCTCAGAGCGGGTTTTTTCCAGTGGGGCGGGGTGGGAGAGCCCTTCCTCAGCTCTCTGCCCTGGGTCATGGAGGGCAGAGGGCCGGCCTTGGCTCCTTGGGGAAGGGTGGGCCAGTCAGGGGAGCTGAGTTCGGGATGTCCTGGCAAACAGGAAATGAGACAAAGGCGGGCCACACTCGAGTTCCCCTCCCCCCAGGGCCTGGGGCTCCAGGAAAGGAGGGGACCCTGGCATCTGTACCCCGAGGGACTTGGGAGGGAAGTGAGGCGAAGGAATGGCCTTCCACGGGCTGGCATGCCCCAATGCCACGGTACCAGGGCCCACAAAAGATGCAGGCCGTGTCTGCCCGCCAGGACCCTCCGGCATATCGGGAGAGGTAGGCTGGACCCAGACCTGCGAAGCACTGGGTGGGAGGGAGTGCACGGGCGGAGCTGGGCGGGCCAGCGGTCGGGGAGCAGGGGTGCGGCACAGGGCCTGCCCCTCGGAAGCGCCACAGGTGCCGTCTGAATGACGGACCCTAGGGGGTCGTGGAACGGGCCCCACATCGGAGTACCGGCCGTCACGGACAGCTCCATGTGTCCACGTGTACTCACAGGACAACTGCTGTCACTGCACGCTCAAGGCTTGGCGCTGCGGAGGTCGCGTGTTCACGTCCTGGCTCTTACACGCGGTGCGCATGCAGTGAAAACCCATGCCACACCCCAAAGCTGTCCGGTGATTATGCATAGACCGGGACCACACTTCAGAAAGAGGGAGGGGGCAGGACACGGGGTGGGTGGCAGGGAAGGACATGGGAGCCACGCCCGGCGTGTGCGAAAGCCCTGGTCTGCACGTGCGCTGGCTGTCACAGAGCAGAGCGTGCGGCCCGGGAGTTGCCTGGAGCGGCTGAAGCGGCTGGGGGAGGCCGGCCAGGTCCTCACTGCCCGGAGCTAGGCTGAGGCCAGGCTAGCTCTGCCCGCTCTGGGCGCCCACGGAGGTGGTGGGGGCTGGCTCAGGGAGGTGGCTCAGCTCGGCCCAGTGGCAGGGGAAGGAGAGGGCTCCCCTCTGCTTCGGTGGTTTGGAGAGGCTGATCTGCAGAGACAGGGCCCCGGAGTGGTGGGGTCCTGCCCCCCTTGCCTGCTGGGCACCGGCGCCAGGGCTGCTGGGGGGCCGGGCTCCCCCTGCAGGCAGGGCTGGCTCAGCGGCTC